CCCCCCCCCAAGTGTCCCATCCTCTTCCCCTTCCAAGGGCCGCCCAGTACAGCCCCACCCCAGCCTCTTTATCCTAGGTATGACCTCCTGCCCTCTTCCTCAGCCTATGCTAAGGAATGCATTAATCCTTCCATGAACCCCACCCCCGTCACAAGCAGGCTGCCCAAGAGTTCTAGCCTGAGCTGGTAAAAGCTGAGCGCCAGCACGACAGGTGCCAGAGAGTCTGGCTCCTCTGCCCAGCAATACAAAGAGAACAAACTCCCATAACTCCTGGCTGCACAAAGTGGCTGCCAGGCTCACAGACACACAGACCAGGGAGATCAGCAGCCGCACTTAATCTAGGGAGAGGCAAGCACAGCAGGTTTGTGTGTATGTGCTTCTGCCCATGGCTGTGGCAATCCTGTCAGAGCTGGGCCTGGGTATTTTTTCAGACATGGCCAGAGTGTCTGCCTTGTCTTCATGCTGCAGGAATCGAAGTCCAGGTGCCGGAGTGTGCCCAGGCACCACTGTGCAACACGATAAGGAGGCAAGGCCAGGAGATAACATCTCCCTTTAAGGGCTGGGGAAAAGTGGTGCTGACTTGAAAGCACTGGGACTAAGTGTTTCCCATATGCCACACTGCTGGTGCCCCACACACTGCTTGTTCCTCCTGTTCAGGAGCTCAGGCTCCATGACTCAAAGTATCCCTCACAGACTTTCAGCTGAGATGGCCCAAGCTTGTGCCCATGAGTGGGCTGAGAGCTGTGGATGTCCAACCACTAAAATTATAGCGTGGCTGCCAGCTCATTTCACACAGGCCAGCAAACAGCCAACACCACTCTTTGCTCACCAACAACACAGGCAGATTCAGTCTAGCAAACCGGAGGGGCAAAGCTGCCAGACTGCAGAGGAGGAGATGAAGGTCCAAGATCCTTCGTGCAAGACAGGGTAGGAAACACCCTTGCAAACCAGAGGCATAGAGACCTCACTGCCTGCCCAAGAGGGAGTGGTGAGGCCCGGCACTTACTTTTTAGTAAGCCGGGGATCCAGTGGCGGGTGCTGGGCTCCGTAGACAGGCTGAATGCTGCAGGGGAAACAAAAGCCACAGAAGTGTTGTGAACAGATTCCTCAGATGCGGACAAGCTCGTGCTGCTAAGCCATTCTTGGAATCCAAACGCAGGTTGAAAGCAGCTTCAATGGGATTCAGACATCACCTCCTTGCCTCCCTGCCCTGACACACCGAACTCCTGACAGTTCCATGGCTTGGCTATGGTGAGGGGAGCAGGGGCTCAGCCTGGTCCCAGGGGTCTCTGCTAGGCCATCACTGACTCACTGGGTGAGTGATGCTGCATCTCCATTTCCCCTCTGAATAAACCAGGGAAGCACTCCCCTATAGCAGTCGGGCAGGAGAGGCATCCTTTGTTACGCTTTCAAGTCCCTAGAGGAAGATGCTCAGAGAAGCTGTACTAAGCCATGACACAGGGGAGCTCTTGGCTGTAAGAGGCTGATGTTGAGCTCCAACTGACAATGACCAGGAGCAAAAGGGCACACGGAAGACCCAATTGGAACTCCAGCCCAGCTCAGGCAGCAACTTGCTTTGCGATCCCAGGATGAGTCACTTTGCCTTGGTGCCTCAGTTTCTCTTCCTGTCAAGTGGGGCTGACATTCCCGTGACTCACAGGATGGGACGTGGCATAACAAGGTGTATTTCTAGGATGCCTGTAAGTGCTAATGCATTATGTGATGAGCACTGTATCAACAGCCTGAAAAGCTCAAGCATTCCTGGAGGACTGAGACTGCCCAAACCAAAGCCAGTCTCTTTGCACACACGTCCTCTCCGCATGGGACTGTGGGAACAATGGGGCCCATCCAGAGCTGGCCGACACAGCAACACGTTCATGCGGGTTGGTGCAACTGTCCCCACTCCCACCAGCTGTAGGCAGAGCCCCTTGGCTCTATACAGAGCCAGTAGCACCAAGCCATCCCAGACAGGAGGGAAGGGGTGGAGGGTGGCTTCGCTGCAGCTGGAAGATGCGATGAGTATTGGAAGCATCTGGCTGAGGGAAGGCAGCAGCCCAGACACAGCTGGCAGCAGTGCCACAGATGCAAGGAAACAGCAGAGCTATCACAGGCAGAGGCAACTGCAACATAGGAGAGGCTGCAACAATAGGCCCTTCACACCAAGGCAGCAGTGCGGAAGCCTCACCAGGGGTGGCTTGCTGTGCAGCACCTTCTGGTTTGTAGCCTGGAGCTCTGAAAAGGCTGGCAATGGGCTGGGCTGGCACTTTTTCCAGACTAATTAAGACAGAGGCACCAAGACAGTTATTAAATGGAGGTGGTCATGTGGGCACTGATCACAAGCTGATTATCAAGAGTAAAACAAGATCAGTGCTACAGATTGCAAACAGCCCAGGAGAGCTTTTGCTAGAGCTGCCTGGGGGAGGCAGTTGAGCTGCTCTCAAAGCCCAAGTGGTGTTTGTATGGTCTTATAAGCCCACTCCTCTACACAACAATTGGATTCACAGGACGGAAGATTCCTCTGCTCCTAATGGGAGGCTGCTAGAATGGAATAAATGCTAGAGTCCTTTGGGGAACAGACCATTAATCCCCAACTCAGGCATCCTACCTCCAGATCTGTTAGGTACCCAGTGCTCTTAAGATTAAACCTTAGAGTAAGAAGCCTCTTTCTGGTGCCCTTGGGCAGTGAGAGATGCTCAGAAAGGCAGGCCTGAACATCCAAGACAGACTGGCCTAACACAAGATATTGGAAAAGGCTCAGATTTCCAATGTTTGTCCTTTAAAAGAGCCCAAAGCTGTGCACTCTACTATGGCAGCATCATCCCCACCCAAGGCACCTCTGGCAATATAGCCCATATCATCTTATTCCATTCAAAAAGCCTCTAGTGTTGGCCTGCTATTTCTCAGCCTCTCTGAACAGGGAGCTCCTGAACTGGATGCAGGCTCCTTGCAACAGCGAGTTTCAGAGGGTGCCCATACAACTCGTGCGTGCAGGCATGTTCTGCCACTGACTTCACTGGATAACCCCCTGCCCTGGCTGTCCTTCTAAAGACAGGCTGAAGGACAGAACAAAGCAAAAGAGAACCAGCAATGCTCACAGGGAGGAAACTACAGTGGGGTAACTTCTAAGGATACACTGGAGATCGCACAAGCTTCCACTTGCCAGCAAACGCTCCATTTCTTTGCGCTTCTCCTCTACCCAGGAAGTCATGAACATACTGATAAGCACAAGCTGATGTGGCTGAAAACTCTGCAGGCTTCTAACAACACAACCTGACTGCTTACAGCTCTACTGCAAACTTTTTTTTTTTTTTGAAGGAAGTATAGGTGACTGTTTCCTACTTGGTAGTGGTTAGAGCTACCAGGGGTGGATATGATTAGAAAAAACTGTAAAAACCAGCTTTATGAGTCATTTATATGGCTGACTTGCCTAAGCCAGCCAGCAAGAGATATCAGAAACCACGAATAGCAAAAGCTTGAACAAGACTGTGAAAGAGCTGAGCAGCTTACACAGGAGGGTCTGAGAGTAAAACTTCATCCCCACTGCCTGATCAGGCGAAGGAGAAGCCCAATATTAAGTTTTTCCAACAGAGGATCCGAAAGCAGCATGCAAACTTGGGCTAGCCCATCCTCACTACTGCAAGTGGGCAAACCAAGGCAGAAAGAGGATGAGTGGCTCTGGGGGTGACTATCATTAAAAATCCCCCACATTTATTATAGAATACACTAATCTTGATCTCTCGGCACCTCTGACACCATTGATTTCTTAAATGGAGCTCAGTTTGGCTAGTGAAACTAGTCTGCGCAAGTCCTCTTTCTGGATTGAGTCAGCTTCACCTGGTCGTTCTCCTCCACTGACGGACGACACTGGATCAGTGAAGAGAGCACTGGACCAGAGCAGACACCTAGGCTTTGCTCCAACTCCAGCAATGACCTATTGGGTGACCTTGGAGCAGTCACTGTCCATCTGTCTCTTCCCTCCTTCCACCTTCACCTACTGAAATTTAGATACAAAAACTCTTTGAGGCAGGGTCTCTTTCACTTCAACACAAAGCAGCTCTCTGCTGCGGTCCATCCGCTCTACTGCATATAAAGAGATGAATTGTTTAGTGTCAATGCAGCGGCAGAAAGTAAATCCTAGAAGCCTGCCAACGACATTTCAAAAAGCAAGCCGCTGCTACTCCCACAGAGCAGCATAACCCACTTTTATTATTAATAGTAAGGCCCTAAGCACGGAGGGCAAGCAATGTGGTGTCCTGCTGAGCATCTCTCCCTAGAGCAGGACTCGATAAAGCACTGGGCAGGACACGAGGGAAACTAACCAGGTTCCTCCTATTCAGCAAGACACAGCCAGGCTCAGACTCCCCACAGGGCCAGCTGGAAGCGTTGTTAGTAACAGGAAAAAGCAACGAGTGGCTCGATTCTGTCGCCTGCATCGGGCAGGTGACAGCGGGCAACTCGCTTCCCTTCCACACCTTCGTCCCCTCCCGCGCGTCCAAGACGGGAATAAGGATGCCTCCGAAAGAGTACGGTCACGACAAACTACTACGCCACGAGCACCCGATGCCTACAGAAAGCTTCAAGGCTCGTCTCTTCCCTCTCAGGAAGATGGAAGCGGAGGTAGTGAACGCGCAAGGGAAGATCCCAAAAGTGAGCAGATTGTAAAAGAAACTTCCCTTTCTCTGTGCGAGCTCCTTTTTGGAGATCGCGCCCGGACCACGCTGCAGGGCCGGGAAAGGATCAGCGCGCAGAAGACGTGAGAGACAGAGCTACCCCTATCTTCTGCAACAGACATGACAGGCTGGCGGCGCACGAGACCAGCAACTTCTCCCAAACCTCGACCCTCGGGAAGTTGGAGCGCGGGGCTCGGGCTCGCCTGGCCCCGGCTGGCAGATCTCTCGACACCGAGTCGGAAAGGGAGGAGAAGCGCTCGGCAGGGCAGCGTCATGGGCGCACGGAGCGACGAGCGCGAGGCCGCTCTTTGTCACCCCTGTGGAAACCGCGGCCCCTGGACGCGGCGGGGCCCGGGCCCGGTGCTGGAGCCAAGGGGCTGCGGGGCCTGACTGGGAGCGTCCAGGCCTGCGGTGCTGGAGGCTGCGGGGGAGGCACACAGGGCCACACGAGGGCCCGGGAAGGCCGCGGGCGAGGAGGAGGCAGCGCCTCGGGGCCTCGAAGCCCGGCCCGGGGGCAACTCAGGCCTCACCTGCCCGGTAGCTTGGCGCTCCGCTTCCAGAACTGCTTGCTGCTGTCGGCGGCCATGACGCGGCCGGGCCCCGGGCGGGAG